TCATAGTCAAACATAGTCAACATTTTCTCTAACATAAGTAAAGTCCATCTGCCACTTTTCATATTATAGCAGGCCGACTGGACCTGTAAAATTTATATTCCCTCAGGCGGCCATGGAATGGACATTGATCCAATAAAAGGTGACAGGCTAGATACAGTTCGAAGAAAGCAAGTTGTTCACAAATCCAGATGATAACTATCATCTCGTAGGATTACAGTTCTGATGGCATAATCTTCGGATGGACCGTCCATCGCAGGACTTCATGCACCATCGTTAGCAAACCTAGTGATTGCCGCGTGATGAATGGTATGGTCCAGGCATGACAGTAATCAGGTCGTAAATCATCGATATCAGTAACATCATCCGATCCTGACAGCGGCAGGTAGGGAAAGTGTTGGTGGTAAACACAGACTGGCCCTTAAGTTCGAATAAAATGTGCGTAAAAATCAATCAGCCACTAATGATCACCATTTTGGTCGCGGTGTGCAGTGAAATAATTCACGTTTTAACCGTGCATAGCGGGACAGAGTTAAGCGAAATCCGAGTCAATTAAGTCACTAAGAAAAAACGTGAATAAATGAGGGTGTCATACATCACAATATATCATAAGTCTTATATGTTGCTACTCATGAACGCAACCTGAAAATTCTTCAATCCTTCATATGCTTCAATTTCCAGTGGTCCAAGTGGTTAACTTGCGGAATGCAGAATTACATTTCCCACAGAATTGGTTTCCGTCAAGCTGATCTAATCCTAGCCTCATCGAATGTGTCGCGATCCTGTCAAGTACATACTGGAGATTTACATAACAGGACGCCAAAATTACTGTCTGCGAACAGCAGGTGACTAAGTGAAACATTTCAAAATGTACTTTCTATATCCACCTGCTGTATCGATTCATAAAATTATGTTAAACTGAGGAAGCATTCTGCGCATTTGGTAAATGCTAGCAGACGGAAAGTTATCGACTTTCAACCGTTAACTCGGACCGCTGGGTAATTCAGTAAGGACTAAATAGTTCCCAGCTCCTGATCATCCTTCCCATATTCCCATAACACTCTCCACAGCTTAGATTTGGTTAACTTATTGTACATCATTTTAGGCACACAAAGCATGCACGTATACATTTTGTCAATCTTCAGTAGTTTTCGCGGTCAAATTCTCTTGATGCACCATTGTATACGTAACAAAAGCCAGTGCTCTTTCTGAACAATGCGCTCTAGCTATCTTTGATATCTCGTTTCCAGACATCTGCGCAGACTTTATAAGGGAGGCTTTTATAGTGGATGACAGCAGTAACTGGCAAGCAAGACTCCAGGATAGAGTACACTTTCAACATCTCAGACCGAATTTCGTCTTATCTAGCAACCATTCCATCCTTGAACAGTCCAACAGCTGAAATCACTTCGATTCTCTCACACAACCCCATCCCTCTAAAATACCCTTTGTGACGACTCGTTGAGACTGGATTCAGAAAATATTCAAAGTTTCCTCTGCGTCTGTAGAGGATTTATTTTCCATGGCTTCGAAAGTTTCAATCTGAATTTTTAACAGTTCATTTACCTTCTTCACCAATGAAAATGGTAGACAGTGCGGGAGAGTGGTTTGTTTACAAATCTGTAAACAGTGCTGAGGTTCTCGCCAAAGGATCAATATGTCTTTGCCTTCAAATCTTGCAACAGCTGCACGCAAGTCTATACTGTTTAACAATGGAACCTTTCAGTACTATAGAAGCGTTACTGAAGAAAAGCAGTGCTGCGTAATCCTTTAGATTCTCAATAACGATACAGATTAATTCATGAGAATAATTCCACCACCACACAGGTAACAGATTAATTCATGCAAAACTCAGTTACATTTGTTGAATATGTTTAAAAACGTTTGGAACTTACGAAAACAGGGAACACGGTTCGCCAAATTCCGAATAGTTTTAGCTGCTATTAATGCATAAAACCTGTTATGTGACAAGGCAAGCACAACAATGAAAGCACAAAACCTATAGCAACAAATATACTGGGTGTATATTCTGCTCAGGCATTATGGGTTAATCAGAAAAGCCACTAACAAAGTTAAGAATCAGAATTTGAGGGGGATTGATTCCATCCGCAGACTAAACCAAGTGAGAACATTAGACTTGTGCAGAGAGTGCAATGATTACTTGCAAATGTAACTGACTGTTTCAACATGGCCGACAGCAGGCAGATCCACAGGTTTTCCATGGTCTGCTTTTTACCACAACAAGAATCCTGGTTCGTGCAGGCTACCTCAAAACCAAGAATCTCTCGTTTACCTTGAAGATACAAACCGATATTAGTCTATCAGCTGACAGATAAATTACATTCCGTCATGCTGGAGTGAACCATGATTGCATTGCATTTTAGGTTAACACCGTATGAATATTTCTATGCGTTCTATTCTGTATATATTCGCCAATAAGAATGTGGCAGCTTCGATGAATTCAATATGCATTCGCTGAATCAAAACCGCGATTCCGTCAAGATTTTCTGTGGTTATTTTTCTACGGTTATGAATTCTGATCATAACATTCTGATCGGTTACATGGTACCTGTGATAATCACTTTTATTGCGTCTATGCAGTAGCGCTGGAGTTCATCCTAAGAAGCACTGTTGCAACATAATTTTGGGAACTATCGTTTCTTTCTGTTCGTTTCACGAGCGACTTGATGTATGATCTGACGTTCATCAACGACAGGCATGGTGTCGAAAGCCAATGAATAAGACTCAAAATGCTCCTTAATGCAAAGAAGCATTTGAATGTCTCGAGGAAATATGGCACGAAGCAATTATTAAAAGAATCGAATTATTCAGGCACAAATTATATGCTTTTATACGCGCTTCAAATCAAATTACTTTCCAAGCTTAGATGAGAAAAACTGTGCCGAGGTCTCTGTAAAATTTAGTCACCTGACCTTCTTAGCATTGCTATCATCGAAAATTCTACCGGATCCGTCGTCGCCCGGGTCACCAAGGGCCGCACCCGCTGCTGGGGGCTGAGGCAAGCCGTGAAATGTTGGCGATCAAAACCTGTTCATCGCCTTCTGGCAGTTGAGGGTAGCAGCACAACAACGGCTGCTCAAGACTGACAAAAGGACGACGAAGATACCGGTTTGAAACAGAAACTCTACTAGGTGTGAAAGGGGGAGGAAGCAGATTGCATGATGCTATTATAGTACATCAGATAACGTTCCACGAAAGCGACACTGAGAGTGGAGACTCACAATTTGAAGATTCCGGGTAGAAGCGACTGAAATGGGCCCTTCTGAGAGGAATCACTCATTCGTCTCGTATGGGCTCACGCGTCTCGACATGATCCGGAGTACAGATATCCAAGACAGCCTTAATGTACTATCGTTATTTAGCCAAACTGAAAAACTACAGCTGCGATTGCTTAGACACGTATTGCAAATGCTTCCAGAAATCACGGCG